GTAGAAAGAGTACCCAGACTCCGGGCCAGGTAGTCTTAAGGAAGCGAAAGTTACTCACTCTGTGCAGTAAGGGAGGTTCTTCAAGACCGTCCTCTGTGGGTGGTTCCATTTTAGGTGAATCTGTGCCCCTGCACTTCTAATTGGAATTTTTGGTAGCAGTGCCTGGTTGGGTTGCACATGCACAGTCGCCATCTCATGCCGCCTCTGGTGGTTACATAGCACTATTAGACCAATCTGCCCTCAGTTCCTTCTCTACTGCAGAGTCTCTAGAGTGAAAAAAAACTCTGAAGTAGGTAGTGGGGAGGACAGAGGATAATGGAGTACATACAGGATTTCAGAAAATCCAGAAATTGAAGCTCAAAGTTTCCTCCCTAGAAGGGACGTGAACGGTTCAGGGGCTGGAGCAGCCTCTGCCCATTCCTGTTTAAGAGTTTAACCGGTTAACTGATTAAACTGGATTTTACATCCCTATTCCCTACATATGTATTCACTAAAATTTTAAGTGACAATAAGATTTGATTGAGTCATATGTTGCTTTACATGCTTGTTGCCTTCTGAAACTCTTCCATCCATATATATGCATAAGCATGAATATTACAAAAATTCTCTGCTTAGTAAAATTGTGTAATTGCCAAATAACTGACATGTAAAAAACTAGAGAGAACTACCAACTTCAGTATCTATGGTAAATTACATATCAATTCTAACTGTCCTCACAAGCCCCTCTAAAATGACTTTTTTAAAATTTTAAAACAGTTTATTTCTTGTTTGTTTTGTCCAGTATAATTCTATGCAAAGTTTTAATATTGTAGAACAACCCGATTCTGTTAGGCTCCACTGAGCCTGATGTATCCTCTCTGGGCCACAGTATTATATGTAAAAGTGCTGTAAAAACTATTATAGAGATTAAGATAATTGTTGGTGCCTCTTTTGATGGACAAACACTTTATTTACCAAATCTGATTCTATTTTTAGGACTAGTACAGCTAAAAATCTGTTGTTTACTATCTTTTGTATTGATTATTAAATCATGGTCTCAAATAATAGTGTATTTTCTGCTTTAGGAATTCCCTTCAGAAGTTTTATTTCTCCAGTGACTAGCTGTGGATATGTATGGTGCTAAATGTGGGAAGGAAAACAATATAGCTATAGGAGCGTGAATAAAGGGGCAAAACTATGCTAAACGGGAGTTCAGTTACTGGACAAAGCACTGTAAGACAAAGCACTATATTGTAGAGCAGTGTTTCTCAAACTGTGCTCCACAGAACCCCAGGGCTCCGCGAGGTTGACAAAGTTTAAACATCGATAGGTACAACACATACAATCAGTGGACTGCTGAGGCTCTGCATAAGTATAACACATACGATCAGTGGACTGTTGGGGCTCTGCATACATTTTTACGCATGTAAAGGGCTCCGGAGCCCAAAAAGTTTGAGAACCGCTTCTGTAGAGCCATGGTGTCCAACCAGTTCTGAAGCAGTAGCCACTATAGTACTGTAGCTACATGTGACTAGTGTGTTGGACACCACGGCTGTAGAGAATAATCCTCTGTGGTCTTTTCTCCCTAATTCTGACTTGTAGTGTTTCTAATGTCTCTGTCCACTGTGGTATCGTACAAAGTTTCAGGTCCTGTTTTAGGGATGTGAAGATGTAACTGTGTACAAAGGCTTAATAGATTAATAGAGTTTGACCACAAGGGACTGTTTTTATCTGATAGTCAGACCTCCTGCATAATACAGGTCATAGAAAAACATCAGACTATAATTTAAAAATTTTCAGTGATGGTTACTCCACCACAAGCCTAGGTATATTGTTTCATTGGTTAATGACATGTTCACTGTTTAAAAATTTGCATCTAATTTCTAGCCCAAAGTTGTCTATTTTTTTTATCCTCCATCAATTGAATCTTGTTATATTTTGTCTACTAGACTGAAGAGCCCACTTATCAAATTTCTTTTCCCTATGTAGACTATGATCAAGTCATCCCTTAACTTTCTCTTTGGTTAAGCTAAATAGATTGAGCTAAAGTATCTGGCACTGATTTAAACTGCTGGAACACAAGATACTGGGCTAGCTGCACCATTGGTCTGACCTAGTATGGTGGTTCTTATATTTTTAAGAGTTTCTAAATCGGTAAGGCTTATTCTCCAATCCTTAAATCTTTCTCATGGCTTTTCAGAGTCCTCTTCAGTTTTTCCATGTCCTTCCTGAAGTGTGGCCATTAGAACAGTACACAATATTGTGGTAGCACAAAACTAGGTGACTGGGCAACAAAATGGCAGATGAAATTCAGTGTAGATAAATGCACAGTAATGCATGTTAGAAACTATCCCAACTATGTGTATACAATGATGGAGACTAAATTAGCTGTTACCACTTGAGAGAGATCTTGGATTCATTGTGGACAATTATCTGAAAATATCCACTCAGTGTGCAGCAGCAGTCTCTCCTGTGCTTAAAGGCAGCCCGTGGAGTTTTCTCAGAATCATCTTTGGCGTGTGGGAGGAGAAAGAAATGTGTTAACATCAGTTTATCTTTTCCCTGGTGATGCAGTTCTTCTGCTCTGATTAACTGTCAGATTTCTTGACCTTTTGATTCATTGTCAAACCTGTTAAACCAATGTGTGAGGGGGACAATACTCAGTAGCAAGAAAATTTGATGGAAAAGTCTTGCTCTGCTCTAGTTGCCTGTTGCGGTGAAGTGTCTTCTTTCCTAAAATACTTATGAATATATGGGGTTTTCAGACCAAGCTTCTTCTCTGATGGGTAACTTGTAATAGAGAATGGATGTCTCTTTTTAAAAAAATGAGAAAAATGTGGAGGGGAGAGAGTAAATTTTGGCTTGGGACAGATGATGTAGCAACTCTATCAATACAGGCTTGACCTTTTTATATAGATTAGTCTTATCTGCTAACTACCTTAACTTTTTTTGTTTGTTTAAAAGAGCTCCCTTCAGACTGAAGATAACATGCCAATTACAATCAAATATTTAAAAAATCTGGTTTTTTAATTTATTGCCAACCTTTCAAAAATATTTTAGGGAGCTGAGATGAAAGCCTTCCTACCTTTCTTCAGATTTTGTGTAGCTTCAGATTTCATGTGACATATGGGCATGATAAAGAGGAATAGGGGGTAGGGAAAACAGCGGAGAAGTTTCTTATGGTGCTTGTGTATAATTAAAGAACAGGCCTCCTGGGAAACTGGAATAAAGGAACCACAAATCCTTCCATGTATTACATAATTTACTCCTCGACAGTTGCCAGAAAGTTGGTGTTATAATAGCTCACCTACTGGCAGGATAATCAAATGAACTCTTCTCTCCGATCCCAACATGAGATTTGTCTGAGGATCCGTTCTTTTTCCCTGCAGAAGGATAGAATTTGTTCTTGCAACATGGAGTTCCAAGGCAAGCATGGTGAAGGCTCATGCCCTGAAGACAAAGCAAGCCCACACTGGCTGTCTTGTGAAATGGATAATATTCCAAAGTTCTGTGTTTAAGGGGCGGAAAAGGAAAAAAATAACAAACTATTAAAGCTTGACCTAATACTGACCTCTTGATGTTGGACGATTGTTTAAAGATGTGAAATCTGTGGTCAGATTTTGTTACAAGAATTTTTCAGGACATCTTGTGTGTTAAAAATGCATGAAACTGTGCACAAATATCATCTTAAATATCTATATAGTTAAAGATCTCTGGCAGTTTTATCTGATAGAATCTTCTGATACAGCAGTAGTTACATGTTAATATCATTCTTTTATTTTTAAAAGGTTTAAAATTAATAGAATCACTGCAGAGAACATCAGACTGTTATTTCAATATTTTAAGGTTTTATGGCTATATTCATGTATAAAAATGCTATATAATATCAATATGGTAAACCTGAGTGACTATTAACAATTTTGAATAAAAGGCTTATTATAATAAATCTGTAATGCAAGGAGATTACATATTAAGTTACATGATGCAGAAGTCTGCACACTTGCAGTATCAGTTTATTGCTTTGTAAAATGGGAGCATAACTAAATGAAGTTCAGAGAATGCAGAACAACTGGTATATATGTCCTCCCATAAATGTACACAATGAAGTATGTACACTGAATGACATAAGAATTTTAAAAATTTACTGAAGAAATCAATGACAATCACTGACTTCTACTGGTAGAATGTATAATTGTCTCTATAATCCTGAGACTTTGCTGCAGGTTGTGTTTGGACAGCAAAAGACTAACTCCTGTTCCATTCTGGTTCAGCATGAAGATATTGGTATAAGATTGCAACTGTTTATCACAATCCTAAAACATCCTTCAGTTTAATAAAATCAAAGTATAATTTTAAATGTGAATTTTCTGAATATTGTGAAAGAGTTGATAAAGTGAGAGTTTGGAACTTTATTTTACTAGACAAATTGTATTCCATCCAGGGTGTACTTCAAAATATTTGAGCCTAAACGTGCAAAGTGTTTTTGTTTCCTCTTGCAGATTAATGGACTATATACTGTAGTTTTGGAGATAACAGTATAACTTAGTGCATAAAAGCTCATGTTTTCTGGAGATTAAAATAGGACTTTTCATACATAGCTAAATGTTCGTGTACTGTGGCTGTACAGCAATCCTGAATTTACATATGATTATTCCAGCCATTCAGCCTATTCACAGATTTTAAGTGTGATATCCAAATCACTGTTGTCAAACAGGTTTTCTTGCATTGCTTAAAACTACGAAAGCCAACCTCCCCTTGCACAATGTTATAAATTACGTTAGTTGTAATACATTCCATATAGAAGTCAGGTCTGAAGTGGTGTGATCTGAAAAAAGGATTCTTATATGTATATCATATGATCAGCTATGCCAACAGCTTAGCTGTTTTTTGTGCCCAAATCCTCTAAATGGGATCTAGAATATTTTTATGAGAATTTGCTGTATGCATTTATTAATATAAGAACTGGACAGTTGCATTTGGATTTGAAACTACAGTATTTTCCTTTTCTTTTCCTTCTCTAGGTGCTCAATACTAGCCTGCAGTGCTTATGTTGCTCTGGCTTTGGGCGATAACCTTATGGCTTTGAATCATGCGGATAAACTTCTTCAGCAGCCAAAGCTGTCAGGATCTCTTAAGTAAGTCTGGCTTAACCATTCTTTAGCCCCTGGTATCTGGAAGAATCTGAATTGAAGTACCAACATTTTTTAACCTGTTGACAGTTCTGCCTCGAAGTCTAAAACTGCGAATATTAGATCTGACCCTATTCCCTTTGACATCCATGGCAAAATACTCCTTGGCAAGCTAGAATGGGGCCCAACTTTTTTGCATATTAATTGTGTATTATTGAAATGGTTAGATTCTGTAACTATTTTTGTTGTTTTTTATTGATCTTGAAAAGAGAGTTTCATCCAATGACTAGAGCACCCGACCATATATTTTAGACCTGAGTTCTATTCTTGGCTCTACCATTGTGAGACATAGCTTCTGTGTCTACATCTGCAAAATGAGGCTACTTACTTACTATTTCTGTAAAGTTTGATTCCCACAGATAAAAAAAGTGCTATGAAAGTGCTAGTTATTATGTATTTAGTATTTAGATTGCTGTGAATGAGCAGTAATTGCTCTCCAAAAGATGGCTGCCCTTTGGGCAGTCAGTGTGAAAAATTAACTTCAAAGGGGCTTTTAACTTCCAACAGATAGGCAAGACTTTTTTAAAGAAATCCAAATTCATTTGCAATATAGATTGCACATGTGTAATGTTCCTGTTGGACTCTGTCATGTTGATTATCATACAATTCTGAAGGGGCTTGGTTTAAAATAAACAATCAGACTTCAGCCCTATCTTTTACTCCCTGGCTATAAGTGCTATTTCCTGGTGGGTTTCACAGATCTGTTGCCATACATACATATGACTGACTGAACTTGTTTATAGTGCTGTGCTGGCAATATACATGCTAACACCACCCATGTCAAGAAATTAACTCATCTTAATTTTGTGACATGCTTAATGTTACTTCATTGTAGCTTTTGTGAAATCGTTTTATGACCCAAATACTTAATAAATTTGGAAATCAGTCACTGTAAGCCGCTTTGTAATGCTTATGATACTATTTTATGGGAATACTATTTGTGCTCCAAATGGAGAAGTAACAGATCAAAATAATTTCTGCAGGATCAGGACTCTAAAAGACATTCTTGCCTTTCAAAATTAGCTGTTCAGAAGATCCAGTATGGAATGGGTGTCCCTTTATGCTTGGTGCTGTACAGATACACAGGACAGCACAACCATTTACAGCCTGTATTCACTTTGGGGGCTATAAAATTATGCTTGCAATTTTGTTTGTTTATAGTAGCAAGTTGGTGGCTTTTCCTTTGTGTGAAAAAGCACATAGCCGTTGTCTATTCCCATTTGACAGACTGAGAAACAGCTACTAACCTCACAAGAATGTTGTGAGAATTAATGTTTTTTGTATAGCAGTCTGAAAGTGTAAAGTGCTACACAAGTGCTGTTTATTATTAAATGGCAACTAGATACTTAGAGTAGCCTTGATCCTGCAACATGTGCACAGCTGACTTCACCAGGACTATTCAAATGCACAAGCATTCATAGTATTGGTGTCCAAAATGGCCAAAAATCGTATGACTGTTACTTATAAAAGTATCTCCACAATAGAGGGAGTCCCCGGGTTACGTACAAGATAGGGACTGTAGGTTTGTTCTTAAGTTGAGTCTGTATGTAAGTCGGAACTGGCGTCCAGATTCAGCCGCTGTTGAATCTGGATGCCAGTTCCGACTTACATACAGACTCAACTTAAGAACAAACCTACAGTCCCTATCTTGTACGTAACCCGGGGACTCCCTCTATTGTGGAGATACTTTTATAAGTAACAGTCATACGATTTTTGGCCATTTTGGACACCAATACTATGAATGCTTGTGCATTTGAATAGTCCTGGTGAAGTCAGCTGTGCACATGTTGCAGGATCAAGGCTACTCTAAGTATCTAGTTGCCATTTAATAATAAACAGCACTTGTGTAGCACTTTACACTTTCAGACTGCTATACAAAAAACATTAATTCTCACAACATTCTTGTGAGGTTAGTAGCTGTTTCTCAGTCTGTCAAATGGGAATAGACAACGGCTATGTGCTTTTTCACACAAAGGAAAAGCCACCAACTTGCTACTATAAACAAACAAAATTGCAAGCATAATTTTATAGCCCCCAAAGTGAATACAGGCTGTAAATGGTTGTGCTGTCCTGTGTATCTGTACAGCACCAAGCATAAAGGAGCGGACAGCCCTGTCCGCTGCCCGCGTGTTCCGCCGCTTTGCTTCCTCTCCCTGGTCTGCTGGAGACCAGAGAGAGGGAGGGCCCCGTTCGTAACTGCGGATCCGACATAAGTCGGATCCGCGTAACTCGGGTACTGCCTGTACTTAATTTCAATGTGAATATTTTCAGTGCAGCAAATGGTCATTCAGTAAAAAAGTATATCTGGTTTCTCCTCTGAAACAGTAATGTGATGATGAGACTTGTCCAAGTGGAATTTGTATCTAAATGTTTGCTGTTGTAGGTTTCTTGGCCATTTGTATGCTGCAGAGGCCCTCATCTCTCTAGACAGAATCTCTGATGCCATTACTCACTTGAACCCTGAGAATGTGACTGATGTTTACTTGGGGATCTCCTCAAACGAGCAAGATCAAGGTTAATGATTCTACACTTCATTAGAACTGGTTGTGCTTTCAGATGTGTCTCTTATGTGACTTTTAACACGTATGCATTTACAGCATTTTGTGAGGGGGAGGGTGGCCTGTTCTTTAGTTCTTAGTATTTGAACTAATTACAAATACACACAAATTAAAACCAAAGTAACTAATGTTTTCCTCATCAGTTTGTGTAAACCTTATTTTTTGAAGCTTATTAAATAAGTAATTACAGTTGATGCTTGGGCTTCTTACCTATTAACATTTTCAGCCTTTTTCATCTTCATGCTCATTTTCAGAATTTAAATGACATTTATGTACTATGTGGGGATATGAGAGGGGAGATAGTTAAATGTGTATCTTAAAACTTGCAGCACTTTGGGGGGATAGGGTGATGAATATAATAAAAACAGCTAATTTTAGATCCCATTTATATAGTTCAGCATTCAGTAGCAGTTCTGATTTTGATGTTTTAGATAAGCAAAGCCCTTAAATGAAGACTAAAAGCTTTCTATGTAGTCCACAATTTCTAACAAACCAGGTTTACCACAGTCAGTCCAGGAGGGGAAAATCCAGCTTGAATCTGCTGTCATAGAATGATAAGGTTTTCTTTTAAAAGCCTTAAGAATGCTCACAGAATATTCTGGCTTTTCTTGTCTCTACAGGGTCAGACAAAGGAGAAAATGAGGTGATGGAATCTTGTAAGTAATAGCTCCAGAATCTAGAAGTAATGCAGGCATTTGTCTTGCCACAGTGTGAAATGAAATCAGAAGAGTGAAATAATTTTGCTTATTTTTTTTCTTTCAGCTGGCAAGCAGACACCCCAGTGTTATCCCAGTTCAGTCACTTCTGCACGAACAATGATGTTGTTTAACCTCGGCAGTGCTTACTGCTTGCGAAGTGAATATGACAAAGCTCGCAAGTGTCTTCACCAGGTATTAAAAAAAAAAAGTCTCAAGACAACTTTATGTATTGTTCCTCTTTCTAGGAGCCATCTTCATCATTGTGCTGGAAATATTTATACTCGCTCTTTAAAATGAAATTTCAAAATAACGTCAGAAAGGGAATGGAAAGAAAAACCCTGCAAGACTTCATAGCCTTTCCTCCCCAATCATCTTTCCCCTTTATCCTTCCTAGGATTCTCAAATGCTCCGTTAGAAATTTACTCTCTTAAAACTTACTGCATGTTTTCGATCACAAGACAAGACTGAAAAATATTTTCAAAAATGATGTTTTAATCACATACTTACCTGATTTCAAAGCCATTTGTTTAGGTGACTGTCTTTCGGATGTAGTCTCTAAATGAATTGTGATACAACGATCTAGAACTATTTTAAAGGAGCTGTTCTGGATAAGTTCTAATAACATTTTTCTTCATTATGTTAACCCTCACACCAACATCCCTTTAGTTCCATTGTTTTAAAAAACACCAGGATGGCTAAAGGAGGGAAACCAAAAGTGTCACTCTCTCTATAAAACAGTCAATTAAACCTGTAGTTTTAACTTTTTTCTTCACATTTGTTTTAAATGGTTGATGAGTGACTGTATCATTAATTTAGCACTTAATTGTTCCCAAAACAGGCCATATTTATTTCTCTTAAAAGCAGAACTTTTGTGGGTGGTGGTGTGGTGTGTTTTGTTTGTTTGTTTTTTTTGTTTTTGTATTCCAAACACTAGACTGTTAAAATGTGACTTTAGTTTAGCTTTATAGCTATTGTCTGCCTGAATTTCACTTGTGAAGTATTTACAAAATGTGTGAGTTCTTATGCTGAAAGGGTAGGGTTTCCTGAGGCTGAGGGAGTTAATTGTCCTTGGAGTTCAGTTTCCTCCAGTTTTTCTAGCTTTTATTTTCTCTTCCTTTTCTCTCACAAGTCCCTTAGGGTAGCAGCTCTCCCCTCTGTAGAACTGAAGAGTTCTCTGCAGAATAACATAAGCAGTCATAATTAAATCACTGTCCACAACAGAATACTGGTCTGAAGTTGAACAAATTGAAGCTATTCAAATCCTTCCTTTTAGTAGAGTAGATCTGTGTCACTGGGTGCTTCCCTGCAACTACCATCATGTGTGAAAGAGGCATTGAATGACTTCACTCTGCATATTTAAATGGATAGATAGGCAGACTTCCATTTGTAGTGGTCAACACTGAGAGAAACCAACTAGAAAAACAATGGGCAGGGACACCATTGGAATTTTGATCTTGCAGAGAGAAATAGAGCAAGTCAAATGGTAAAATGGGTATTACCCAAGTTCCTGTTCAGTCTTTTTAACTGGACCGCTTGGACCAGAGTTGTTTTGTATAGAATCATCATGTCCCATATTTTTGGTTGGGACAAATATGGCCCCAGTCCTTTTAAGGAATGTGTAAGCGTTTATGGATGTGGGGGGTATTGATACAAATGCACATGAGCAGGTTCAGCTAAAACGTCATTGTGCTCTCTTTTTAGTGAAGTAATGGCTGTATTTTGATCTGAATAAACTGAAAGGCTTGAGAGGTTTATAGAAAATAAACATGGAGGCCCCTCAGTTTACCAAATGATGATTAGTGCGTTGTTGGGGAGCTTGTTCTTGTACTGGAAATATTTAATGTTCACATTTAAAAATGGAATTCAGAGTAACTTCAGCAATGGACGTTATTTTTAAATAAAATAGCCTTTCCTCCACATCATTGTTCCCTTTTGTCCTTCATTTCTTCCTTTTTCCCTTCTTTCTTCTTAGCTTGGCAAAACTTTTGTATGAATAGCTGCAACATATATTTGTCTACATGTTTCAAAATTGACTAGGAGAGAGGCTGTTTTCTTTCAGTGTAAACAAAATGAATCCAAATTCAACAATGCTTGCTCAGCTGTAAAGGGAAGGAAGTTGAGGCTGAAGGTTGACGAGGAGGGAAGTGAGACAAATAGTTAATAACATTTTCCCTTTCAGAGGCTTGACAGCCCTTGCTGGTTTTCTTTGCATGTTAATCTTGGTAATTTTTCTGTTTTCTGAAAGGAATGAGACTGCTTGAGCTTTCTCAGTATAGGAGACAGAACTGCATATTCACCACATAGTTTTGAGAAATTACTGTATTGTGATCATGAAATCCCTGTATGCTCAGTTTGTCAGCTGATCAGAATATGGGGAGTTAAAAACTATGATAATTGAGAAATAAATATTTGTACAAATTGGCAGCCAATCTGAACACCGGGAACTAAGTAACTGAACAGCAGTGTTTCTTAAACTGTGTTCTGTGGCACACTGGTGTGCTGTGAGGCAGTCGGAGGTATCCCGCAAGAACAACAGAGTTCAAAATGGCCACCCTTAAAGAGACAGGCGACTTTTTTCCCCCGTCCCTATTTTTTTCTCTAACTTTTCCCCAGCCTCTTTTATTTATTTATTGCTCAACAAAAAGTTGTTGGTGTTACTCTGTCTTAAAAAGTTTGAGACACTGCCATACAGAATTTCTACATTCAGCTTGGCTGAGACAATGATATTCCACTGTGTTCCCAACCTGCCGCAGGTTGGGAGTAGAGATCCCTAGCTAGTGCACATCTGAACATGTTCATGTGCTTCATAACAGAGGATGTGTTCATGTAAGTTAAAGGAGATTTTGTTCGTCTTGATTGTAAGGGAAATCAACCCGCCACAAAAAAAATAAACGCATCCTTCAGAATGACTCAGAAATGACTCATTTATATTTGTCATATATCTATGTAGAAAAGCAGATGGTGCCTCTGAATAGAGGGGTGAAATATTCTTACAAAGCAGATGATCCGTCAGCCTCTCTTTTCATATATGGACCTGATGGTGGATATTTATATTTCAAAAATAGTAGCTTAGTTTTATATCTAATAGTTGCTCTGTTTTATAACTGTCCTGTCCACTGGTATTTTCCTTCTTATTGAATTACGTAGGGCTGTGTTTCTCAAACTGGGGGTCCCGACCCTCTGGGGGGGTCGTCAGCACCTTAGAGGTGGGTTGCGGTATCACAAAGTTTGAGAACCCCTGGTCTAGGGTAGTGTTAACCTTTTTTCTCTTTGATTTTTTGGGATAAGGCTGCTTGTCTGATCCATCCCAAAGAAATTCCCCCAGAGGCTATTCTACTGGCTGTCTATCTTGAACTTCAGAATGGTAAGTAATTTTAGCATCTTTTCAAAACAATTTTAACCTCTTTTGTGTTGATTGGTGTTCCCTGTGCTTAATTATTATTTTAGGCCTTATTGCAGAATTTACAACGGAACCTTTGAAACCAAAGCAGTAGAAGAAACCCTTTAATAGTATCACAAATATACTGTCTATTTAGATTTTGAGTTAAAATGTTACAGCTCAGCAAGTTGTGCAAGCGATTGTTCCCCACAAGTCAAGTCACAAGCTTTTGTCCTTGTTTCCTTTGCGTACACACACATCCATAGTACCATTGGTTGCCATCTCTTAAGTTTTTATTTCCTTTGTACCTGAAATATTTATTTTTACACAAAGACTATTTGCCTAAATTAAACAGCTGGCTGGCATTTCTTGCTGTAGTTAAGACTTGAAAACAATGTCTAGTGTAACCCTGTTTCTTACACACTCCTAGCTTTCCAAAATTCATTTCTGAGCTGAAATTTTTCCATGCTTTGTCTGTCAAAAAGCAATTTGTCTTGGAAAGTTTGAACGAAATCCTATCAATAAGTTATGGGAGATTGAATAATGAGAAATTGTATGCACTTTCTTACACCTTTGTATAAAGAATGCCTAAAAGGTTGATTGGGTTGTTTAAAGGAAACTTAATTTGAAATCTATTAAGCTTGCAAAAATGAGTTAATTAGTGCCATGTAATACACACCTAACCCTGACTTGAATATTCTCTCCGTTTTGAGAGACTACCTATTCCACACCACTTCCTCATTCCTTTTCAGGGACCTTTCTCACAAAGTCCTCTTAAAAAGACCTTTTGTTACTTTTCTTGGAGTAACTGAAAGAAGGTTCCCTCTCAGTATCATGAGAGAGGCTTCTGAAGTAGGTATTTTCTCATCCCAAAGGAAAAGGGAGGATGGTTCCTATCCAGACTCAACACATTTATAAAGAATTTTAAATTCAGGATGGTCTCCTTGGCATCAGTAATCCCCACTCTATAATCAAGGGAGTTAGCATTACCCGATCCCCAAGACAAATACTTCCACATAAATACGTAAGACAGTTTTTTTATTAAGATTTGAGTAGGCCAAGAACTTTATCAATATTGAGTGCTTCCCTTTGGTCTGTCAACTGCCCTCAGAGTGTTTACCAAAATACAGTATAGCAAAATACCTCAGCAAGAGAGGCAACATGTATCCATACCTGTAAGACTAGTTGGTCAGGAGAAGTCTCTTAACTATGCCCCAGGCTCCATCTGCCCTTTGAGTTCTTCTGCAGCTTAGCCTCAAAAGTCACTGTAGAAATCCAGCCTGATTCCTCTCCAGATCATTGAATTCAAAGGAGCAGGGTTAAATTCCACCAGCTTTGTAGTTTACATACCTCGGAACAGATTCAACCACCTCCTGGCCCTCATCTGCCATTTGGAACAAGACCCAAATATCAGAGGGGTAGCCGTGTTAGTCTGAATCTGCAATAGCGATCTGACGAAGTGGGTCTTTGCCCACGAAAGCTTATGCTCCTACACTGCAGTTAGTCTATAAGGTGCCACAAGACCCAAATACCATAGCAAGAATCTGTCTCAAAGCTCCTAAGACGTATTCTTTATCACCTCTGACACCACACGCCAGACTTTACCTCTGCTGCGTGCAGAGATGGTTAAAGCTGGCAAACATACCCAGCAGTCCATATTAATAATGCATCTTTGTGTCCTCTCTAGTTCTCCTCACTGACACAGTGGACAAATGCAGCAAGCATCTACAAAGGATTTGTTTTCTGTTCATTCCCCTCTTGTCACCTTTCCCTTTCATGTACTTTAGTGACACATGCTTCACTAAGGAGATTGGGGGTGGAGAGGACTCATGAAATTGTTCCAAGTGCAACACCTCTGGATGATATGGAAAGTAAGGATGCATAGCAATCTCAGAGCCGTATGCAAAACATTCAAGACTTTTCTCAAACACATTGAGACAATCAGTACAGGTGATGACTGACAATACAGCTACCATGTTCTACATCAAAAAACAAGACAGATCCCTCCTGCTCAACCAAGAGACTGTCAGATTGTGTAACTGATGCATCACAAATTAGATTGTGCGTTCAGCAGCGTGCTTATCAGGCATTCAAAATACATTGACAGGCAAACTGAACAGACAGTTCTTCTAGGATCACTGATGGAAGAACATACTAGAACTTTGTCCGTTAGGACATCTCATACTGGGATCATCTCCATTTAGACTTGTTACATGAGGTCACAGGTCACTATGTTGAATTTTTTGTTGTAGGGTAGGCATCAGCTTGGGTTCCCTGGCAAATGCATTCCTGATTCCATGGTTGTGACTTTCATGTATGCCTACTTTCTGATGCTGAGAGAGCTCTTCAGGGGTCAACAAGAAGACTCATACAAGTTGATTGTGATAGCCGTGGCATGCTTGTGCCAGTTTTGGTTCACAGACCTGCTCTCCGTTCCAGCTCTGATCTCTATCATATCACAAGGGAGAGATCATAAACCTGAGAGTGAGATGATGTCAATCAGCTCATATCCTTATGAGCTCCAGGAAGGAGTCTACAAGATAAACCTACCTGCCAAAACTGATATGGTGTTCTCATTGGTGCTGTAGAAGGTTGATCACTCCTTACAGTTCTTTGATAGCTCAAATCTTAGATTGTGCTCATTCAGGATTTGCTTTTAGGTCGTCACCCACCACTGGAAATAGACATTTTTCTCTCACCTGACAATAATGAAAAGTTTAACCGGGCTGATTTAATCTATTCCAACTGCTTGAACATCTCATTCCAACATGGCACCTCAAATTAGTACTTTCATCCTTCACGAGCGCACCATTTGAACCATTTGCTATCTGCTCCTTTTTACATCTCTATGAAGAGGGTTATCACATCAACAAGATGAATGAGATCCAAGTATTGATGGCTGACCCTTCCTTCACAATCTTCTATTCCAATCAGGTATCTCAAGAACACATCCCACGTTCCCGCCAAAGTGTTTACCAAATTCCACTTGCCAGTATACTCTTACAAGTCTCTTGCCTCAAGAGCAAAAGTAAATGTTGCCTTTGAGTAGAGGTGTGAATATTACATTCCTTAGATGGCAGGAAGACATTCGCTTTCTACCTGAATAGTACAAAACTCCAAGACTATGGCTGTGTCTACATTGGCATCCCTTTTTGGAAAAGGGATGCTAATGAGACACTTTGGAATTGCAAATCCGCGGGGGATATTTAAATCCCCCGCGGATTTGCAATTCCGAAGTCTCTCATTAGCATCCCTTTTCTGGAAAGGAATGCCAATGTAGACACAGCCTATATGTTTTGCAAAAAGAATAAAGGGATCGACCATGTCAGCACTATCAAACTGGACCTCCCGCTACATCAAGACCTGCTATGGAGTAGCAATAGTAGAAGCCACTTGGTTCCTTGGGCTCATTCAGCTAGACTTCAAGCCTCATCAGTAGCTTCACTGAAGAGATGTTATCCATTTGCATATTCCAACAAACCTTCCATCTGCTCAGTTTTTTAGTTCATGTGTTTGGGATTCTGCAGTTGAAAAGAAACAGATGCACTGATATGCTCTGCTCTTATATGCCCTTTATATGAAACACAAGGAGACTCTGTTCTGCTCCTGTCTACTAATAGTGCCATGTGTATATGGCCCACACGTCTCAAAGGACTCCACTTACTGTGAGATGAGTAACTTTTCCTTGTTCCTGTAAAATTTGTGTTTTTTGTTTGTGTGTGAGACCCCCATGGAACAGGAATGAAGGTCTCATTCTGAGCTCCTCTGCACACTCCAGCACCTACCTTGCTGAAACCATCCTGACTCTGGATGCAAGAGATGCCTTGAGCAGAACAACCTGCAGGGAAGGGACATTAGTAACTGAATAGGAAGTTCTGTTGGTGCTCAGTTTTTCACTGCTTTGTTACAATCATCTTTGTTACACGTAAAACATATTCAAACAGGAGTGTGACAGGCTCACAGTTTTCCTTTTAAGATGTTTCCATTTATATTTTTTAAATAAGTCTCATGTTTTCTGGTTTTCTTGGTAATTCAAAGATGTTGAATGGAAGCTTTATATTTGTCATTGAATTCCTAACAGACATTTGAGGGAAAACGGATGTCACCAAAAATTTTAAATAGTCTGAATGAAGTTTTTTGTCCCTTCATTTAATGCCTGGTTTGACTGCAGAGCTACTGCATTAATGACAGCTCTAGAAAAGAGTTTTCTCTCTCCTTTTTTTAACCAAACTTTGGGGAATCCTTCTGGATATACTTAACAAAACTGCAGAGCACAATCCCAGTTTGTTTTCCTTTTCAACTTGTCTCCTCCTTAAAGTGATGTAGCTGTTTGGTGTGCCTAGTGCTGTTTATACAAACATCACTTCAGTTCCAAGTTCTCAGTACTCTCTTCCTTCTCCTTTCATACTATGACTTGAGAGAAAAACAAACAAATGATCTTTTCAGAATTCTTTAAACAAAACAATTTGGGTTTGAAAAGTGTGCATGACTGAATGAATTAAGATGGAATCTTCACTTATTTTTATTTGTACATGTATCCTTAATGTTTCACATGTTTGCATTTAATATGCACTATGCAACCTGTGGGGATGATTTGAGAGATCAACAATGACAAAGGAATAAAATTGTCTGGTTTCAGATTTTTTAAGATTTTTCTGTCCGAGTTCCTGTGACTCAAGTGTTTGCCCATGTGTAGAAGTGAATGTTAACTAGAAACTGTTTTGTAGGCAACACTCAACTGGCACTGCAGATCATCAAAAGAAACCAGCTTCTCCCTTCAGTGAAAACACACCCTGATATGCGAAAGAAGCCAGTATTTCAGCCAGTCCACCCTGTCCAGCCCATTCAGATGCCAGCTTTCACCACTGTCCAAAGGAAATGAAGGACGGATTGCACTGACAGGCCCTGTGGAGGAGGGCTTGTGAGTTTGTATATTTTTTTAAACTGTGTCTCAGACACTTGAATACCAGGCATATTGGAATGTGCTGGCTTGTGTACATTTTTAATAAAAAACATTTCAATGAAAAATTGTTTGAAGAAATTTGTAAAAGGCATTTATTGAGGAACATTTCCATTTTAATTTCCACCAGGCTGGATAGCTTGAATATACGATTAACAGTGTGACTCATGGTGTTTGTGATAGTCATTAGTTTTGATTCTGCATTTTTCATACAGAGCATTTGATACAAATGTACATTCCCTTCCCTTAAATCAGCTCGGATGCTTCTTTTTGCTAGACAACGTGTGCTGGGGTTACCCTGTGTCTTTTTGTGTATAGAGTTATCTTTTGGGATAACCTGAGGCTAGAAGAGACCATTATGATCATGCAGGGTGGGCTGTGCTGACCATGATAGCATTATGTCCGGTATAGACTGTATCTACAACTTTTCAATGCAGCTTTTGCTGTCACCTTGAGACACTTACTGGATTATCTAGCTTGGGCATTAGCTGCAAACAGCTATCTGAAAGTTTGTTTTATGAAAAGTGATTAACATTCCCAATGACTTTCCTCACCTGTCTCCAGTTCTAAACCCCTTATACAGCTAAGTCTATGGTTTTATTTTCTTAAAGCTACTCCCTGTATAATATATCCTGCCATGTATAACAACACTGTATTTTATGACTTCAATATGTAGTAGATGAGCTTGATTTGTTATCTTGAAAGGCATAAAGTGGATTGAGGATGATACTTATCAGACCATCAGAATTGTGCATTGCAGTAGCCTTGGGTTTGATCTGTTTCTTTGCAGTAAATATAGCCCATCAGTATTAAACTAGATGGTTGAATAAATGGGAGCTAGGCAGGGGCTAAATACCTTTATTCACTTGTGACTTACTAGGAGAGGAGCAATAGGTGTTAGTTCATTAGGCTGCCTAAGCTCCCTTGCACATAATACTTTGCTGCACACAATTCTTGTCCCTGCAAAATCCTGCGGCTATGTCTAGACTGGCCACAAATTCCGGAAAAGGGATGCAAATCAGGTAAGTCAGCATAGGGAAATCCGCAGGGGATTTAAATATCCCCCGCGGATTTAAATAAACATGTCTGCCGCTTTTTTTCCGGCTTGGGGAAAAGCCGGAAAAAAAGCGTCTAGACTGGCGTGATCCTCCAGAATAAAGCCCTTTTCCAGAGGATCTTATTCCTACTTTCAAGTTGGAATAAGAGATCCTCCGGAAAAGGGCTTTATTCTGGAGGATCACGCCAGTCTAGACGCTTTTTTTCCGGCTTTTCCCCAAGCCGGAAAAAAAGCGGCAGACATGTTTATTTAAATCCGCGGGGGATATTTAAATCCCCTGCGGATTTCCCTATGCTGACTTACCTGATTTGCATCCCTTTTCCGGAATTTGTGGCTAGTCTAGACGTAGCCTGCCTCCCCTCAGCACTAAATTGCCAATTTCAGATTGTGGTAGCTTGGTGTTGAGTCAACTGATTAATTTGTTTGCCTCTTGACTATTTAGGGTTAGAGCTTTATTATTTAAAATAGTGAAAGCTATTAATATGTTTATATAGATAAATATCAGACACCATAAGCTTTTCTACCCAGCAGGACACTCAAGTTTTACTGGAAAGATGAACAGATGTTAACTGAGACTAGACAAATGTCAGGCTAAATATATATGAATTATCAGCATGAAAATGGGTAACAGCATGCTTCAGTGCCTGGAGAGGTAGCCTTTCCTCTTCCATCAACTATTGAAGGCCATAAATATGTGGGTCTCATTGCAAACTGTATTCAGCTGAATTTCTATCATAGCACAATCTCCTCTTGCATTTGTTTCTAGCCACTGGAAAGTATGCTCATAGGAATGCTACCTCTTGAGTGGTTATAGGCCAGTGCTGGCAACAAAGTATGTAAATGAGTCCTGAGCACAGGAACCGTCAGATAAATCACCTAAGTGGTCCCTTGTAGGAGGAACAATAGCAGACTGACTTCCCCATGAAAGTTCATGATACCTTTTCTCTATATGTTTTGTTAATCTTTAAGGTGCTGCAAAACTATTCGGCTGCAACTGGAAAAACTCAAAAAACAAGGAACGTGGCTCCCCCTCTGAAGGTTCCCCCCTAGGGCAGTTACTGTGCTAGTCCCTTTCTGCACTGATGGAAATAGTTAGCCTTGCGTTATGCAGAGTCTTAATTCAAACAGTGAGCACACTCTTGGGTGCCTGAATGGTCATTAGCATGGAATGGGTCCTGGCTGCTTTAACTGTAACCTGGCTGTATTTAACTCTTTAACATTTGGAAAATAGTAAGAGACATGCAAATAACTTGGGTGGAAGTGGAAAGCTTCTAGTTTGCAATAACAAGCACTAGAGAAGTATTTGATGAATACAGAAGCCTTCAAATGATGTGAAGGGCTTTCACAGTCCTGGGCCATAAGCAAAAACTGTGGCACCAATTCCTGGAGAGCTAATTAGCTCTTTCTCTCTCCCCACCCTCACAGGAGCTTGAAGTAAAAGCCATCTGGAAAGATGTAGTCTCTTGACTTAATGTTGTTTCAAGATTACTTTTAGAAATTAAAGTACATTTCCCCTAGCCTCTATTTCAGAATACTTGAGTCTGAGCTCTGAAGCTGTCTGAATGGTGACTTTTTTTTTTTAAAAGAAAACTGTTGTCAGATCACTACTAGTAGATTCACTGACTAAATACAAAAAGGTTAAAGATGCTTTCTGTGTGGTCTTCTCTTGAATAAAGATTTTTCTCTCCTCTGCATAGGAATGTAGAGTATTCAAATGCAGAAATGCTAATATATTGTTTCAGAGCATTTCTCAGCTCAGCTAGCAGGCATGCAACATTATACTCACCCATTTGAAAAAACGATGCAGTTGTTCCCCACATACCACATATCTAATCACACATGAGTGGAACTATTCATCCTTAACTCTCCATCACATAAGAATGCTCTTCTGGCCTAAGGGAAGCTGAATGCTAATGTGGACTTGTATTTTGAGCTACAGCAGTGTCAGTATTTTCCTGCAGCACAAACACTGTTTTAGAAACTGGCTGTATATTTAAAAACACTGAGAATGCCTCATCTCAGCCATTACACATACATTTTATATTTTCCCTAGCATTACCAAAACACCCATTACTTAGCCAGAAAGCTGAGGCAGTCCTGTTCCTTAAGAATCAGATTGCATATCACTTGAGCAGTAGCCACCTTCTTGAGTCTAGATGCTTGTCCCTCATTTGTTTAGTCTCATTACAGGGCCAGATTTGAGGATGGGTGGGGGGGAATAGCCAGGCAGCTGCCTGGGGTGCCACATTAGGTGCCATGCATGCACCTGCTGCCTAAGGTGCAAGAATGGCTGGCCCTCTCTTTACCAAAGTGCTTCAAAGGGAAGGCAGACAAGCAAGATGCTGGGTGCCCTGGTCTAGCTAAAACTCTGAAAGGCTCTGGTTAAATTAAATCCTATTCAGTCTTACCAATTTAATAAATGGTTATTTGTAAGGTTCAATAGCAAATGCTCCATCAAGAATGGGATGTGGAGACTTCAGCTACATGGACTCTATAACTGACAAAAAGTTGTCACTTAGTAAGGACTTGTTCTTGCTCCCACAGTGGGTAGGATTCAGTCCTACCACTTCCCTCTCAGCAGTGAGCACACTAGAAAGGGAAGCAAACTTTAGCCTCAGAGTGATGTACACTGAAATGATCACTCCTTTACCATCCATTGCAGGCCCCCTGCTGCCAAAGGCCCTCAGCTTGGCTTTTGCCTTCATGTGAGGGAACACTCAGTGTACCACAACTACTGTGATGACTTCCAGCATTTCAGCTCCAGCAATGTCTGGGGGCCACAGAGACAGGTGGCCATCACTATTTTTACAATCCTGTCACTTACCTGATCTCAGACCAAGTCAAAGCCATGAGGTAGCAATGGCTATGGGCATTCTATGACAGGGCTACTCAACACACGGCCTATGGGCCACATGCAGCCCATTTGTTTGCAGCCCTGTGTAGTTTGGATTTACCTGCAGCTCAACATGTGGCCCACTGGTGGGATCCTTTGAACGTGGCCTCCACTGGGACCATGATCCACAGGGGTGAGGAGTCTTCCAGGCAGGGTGAGCATTGAAAGATGGGGTGGTTGGAACAGATGGGTACAGGGAGTCAGCATTTCTAGCTCCCAGAGAAGAGGTGCCAGGATGTCCGTCAGTGTGAAAAAAGTTATTTGCCTGTATATGCAAACACTTAAGTTGAATGTGCTGTGATTATCATTGTGGCCCCTGGGGCTTCCAAGTTGAGTAGCCCTGTTTTACACTATACTTGCCAGTGTAGACACAGCTGTTTTTCCGGAAAATCAACCGCTTTTCCAAAAAAAATTGCGAGCTGTCTACAGTGGCCGCTTGAATTTCCAGAAAAGCACTGACGATCTAATGTAAAATCATCAGTGCTTTTCCAGAAAAACTATGCTGCCCCCGTTCAGGCAAACGTCTTTCTGGAAAACTGTTCTGGAAAAGGGTCAGTGTAGACAGCACAGTAGTGTTTTCTGCAAAAAAGCCCCGATCGCGAAAATGACGATCAGGGTTTTTTTGCGGAAAAGCGTGTCTAGATTGGCCACAGACGCTTTTCCGGAGAAAGCGCTTTTCCCGAAAAGCATCCTGCCAATCTAGATGCGCTTTTCCGAAAATGCTTTTAATGGAAAACTTTTCCGTTAAAAGCATTTCCGGAAAATCATGCCAGTGTAGACGTAGCCTACAAGACAAGCCCTTCCATAGTTGCTCGCTTGGTGGAACAATACTGGTGATAGCAGTAGTGGAAAGTTTTTGACAAAAGTGCCTAGAATAGAAAAGAGCTTAAAGCATTAACTAATTAAGGTCACTAACACACTAAAAGCATGAGGCTCACTAACTAGTGCATCTCAGACAACTACCATCCATAGAAGCCCCATAAAGTTTCTTGTTTACTGCAAAAGCAGTGATGAGAGTCACTATGGGTTACAGGAGCAGCCAAGGTAAGAACTGCTGCACTGAGGGGTCCATGCCAAGAAAAGTCAACTTTAGACTTGGAGGTAAGGTGGGAATTTAATTACTGCCATACCAGTACTACTGAAAGTCAAAGGAGCACACTGAAAATATTACAATGCCTCTATATAAAGCCATCGTGCACCCACCTTACTGTGTGCAGGTCTGGTCATCCCATCTCTAAAAAACTGGTGAACTGAAAAAAGTAAAGAGCAAGGCAACAAATACAATTGGGAGTATGGAACAGCTTCTATATGAAAAGACATTAAAGATTAGGGATGCGTCTAGACTGACATGATTTTGTGCAAATACTTGTAATGGAAAAATTTTTCCATTAAAAAGTATTTGCACAAGAGAGCATTTACACAAGGCTTTTGTGCAAAAGCCTCCGTGCCAGTGTAGACTCTTGCACAAGAAAGCTCCGATGACCATTTTAGCCATCGGGCTTTCTTGCGCAAGAAATTAACTTGACTGTCTACACTGGCCTCTTGCACAGGAATACTTAAGCCCTCTTGCACATCCCTGAGCAGAAGCATCAGAGTATTTGCGCAAGAACCACTGATTTTGTACAGTACAGTGTCAGTGTTCTTGAGCAAATACTCATGGCCACTGTAGACAGGCAGCAAGATTTTGCGCAAAATCTTGCCAGTCTAGATGTACCCTAGGATTGTATAAGTGGGAAAAGAGAGAACAAAGGGGGATGATAGAGAGTTCATGAAGGAGGTGGAGAAAGTGAACAAGGAAGTGTTCACAGCACAAGAATCAAGAACAAGCCAATGAAATTAATTTGCAGAAGGTTTAAAAACCAAACATAAGGAAGTACTGCTTCCCATAATGCACAATCAATCAGAATGCATTGCCAGGAGATTTTTTTGACAGCTAGAAGCACAACTAGGTTCAAAAGGGAACTAGGTAAATTCAAGGAGGCATACACACATTTGGCTGTGCAACTACCTTTACTGTTCTATAATAGTTCATTTTTTTTGACAGGCACAAGGCTGAGAGAAAAATAAGATTGCGCTTCTGCCAAGCTCATATTGTATAGGACTCATATTAGGAGTGATGTGTTTTGCCTCCCCCTTGGCTGGTCATAGCTGGAAGTTCACCATCTTTTGTTTGCAGTCTATCATTTGTTTTTCTTACCTTTCTCTTACTTGTATAGAACCTGCGCTCCCATTTTCCCTTTGTTTTCTTAAATGTTAGTGTTCTCTCTTTTGAGCTGTACATACATACAATTGTGTATTTTAGTGAGCATGCCACTCTCTGCCTCATGTGCTATCTGCTTCACGTGATGGGAGTTTACAGGTGATAGTCTTACAGTCTTGGGTCCAGTGGATCTTGAGGACACATTTTATGTTCACTTCCCTTCATCAATTTCAGGAATCTTTCCCGGTGTTTTTATAGCTTGGCAAAAGAAAAATCTCAATTGTTTCTTAGCAAAAAGCTTTTATAAAATATTTTATAGTTTGGCTAAACTTTGTGTTTTCCTAACAAAATTGAACTCTTCTCCTCCCCCCCCCCCATCTACTCATATGAAAAGGATAATTTTCTTTATTCATGATATTAAAAAAAAATTCTCATTTTCCTGTGAGAACAAAGCTTTCATGTTTAGATATTCAATGCCCTTTTAGGGAAAATAATAAAATTGATTTTTTAAATGGCTCGGGGCCTTTTGCACTTTACATATCTTAGGGACTCAGACTGGAATACATAATCCAGCCCTGGCTATTTGCCAAGATAGTTGGGAAGACAAATCTACGTTCTGGATGTTACTGATCCTCTGACTACCAGAAGCTGGGACTGAATGAAGGGATCACTCAGTAAATTGCCCTGTTGAGTTTCTTCCATCTGGGTACCAGCCATTGTTGGAAGACAGGATACCAGGCCAGATAGCCATACTGGGTCAGACCAAAGGCCTGTTCTTATGTGGTAATTTCTGTTTATATCACCCTGGAAGCTCTCGCTCACTCACTTGGTCTTGCATGCGCGCGCACGCGCGCACACACACACACACGTTAAGAGTTCCTGCATCTTCTCATCCACTTAATTCTCTCATCACTGTGTCTATTAAAGACCCCCTTCTGAACATTTTCCCTAAGCTGCATGAGCTAAAGAGGACTGCTGCCTGTATGGCCAATTATGCCCATTTTCAAGCTAAATTGTGCTGCCTGGCACTGGTATCTGCTAACAGAGCCTCAATGTCAATGAACATGTGGACAAGGGGGATCCAGTGGATATAGCGTACTTAGATTTACAGAAAGGTCCCTCACCAAAGGCTCTTAAGCAAAAGTTAAGTTATGGGATAAGAGAGAAGGGGTCCTTTAATGGATTGTCTTTTTAACCAGTTAGACAGGAAACAAAGGGTAGGAATAAATGGTAAGTTTTCTGAATGGAGAGGTATAACTAGTGGGGTCCCCCCTGGGTCTGTCCCAGGACTAATCCTATTCAACTTATTTATAAATGATTTAGAGAAAAGGGGTAAACAGTGAGGTGGCAAAATTTGCAGCTATCAAAGTGCTCAAGATAGTTAAGACCAAAGCAAATTGAAGAGCTTCAAAAAAGATCTCACCACACTAAGTGATTGGGCAACAAAAATGGCAAATTAAATTTAATGTTGATAAATGTCAATTAATGCTCATTGGAAAAAATAATCCCAACTATACATACACTATAACGGGGACTAACTTAGCTACAACTACTCAAGAGATATCTTGGGAATCATTGTGCATAGTTCTCTGAAAACATCCAGTGTGCAGCAACAGTCAAAAAAGCAAATAGAATGTTAGAAATCATTAAAAAAAGGGATAGAGAATAAGACAGAAAATATCTTATTGCCTCTATATAAAACCATTGTATGCCCACATCTTGAATACTGAGTACAGATGGGGTCACCATCTCAAAAAAGACATATTGGCACTGGAAAAGGTTCAGAAAAGGGCAACAAAAGTGATTAGGGGTTTGGAACGGGTCCTATATGAAGAGAGATAGAAGAGACTTGGACTTTTCAGCTTAGAAAAGAGGAGACTAAGGGGGGGGGATATGATGGAGGTCTATAAAATCATGTGTGGAAAAAGTGAATAAGGAAGTTATTTACTTATTCCCACAATAAGAGAACTAGGGGTCACCAAAAGAAATTAATAGACAGCAGGTTTAAAACAACAGAAGGAAGTTTTTCTTCACTCAGTGCACAATCAGTCTGTGGAACTCCTTGCCTGAGGATGTAGTGAAGGCTAGGACTTTAACAGGGTTCAAAAAAGAGGTAGATGGACCTAATCTCCATGAATCTATCAATGGCTATTAGCCAAGATGGGTAGGAATGGTGTCGCTAGTCTCTGTTTCTCTGGAGGTGGGTGATACGGGAGGGATCACGTGAGGATTACCTGTTGTGTCCCTTCCTTTTGGGGCATCTGGTATTGGCCACTGTCAGCAAACAGGATACTAGGCTGGATGGACCATTAGTCTGACCCAGTATGGCTGTTCTTAAGTTTTGAAATGTACTTTGCAAGCAACAAAGTTAGCACCATGAGAGGTAAAGCAGCCTGAGAGGTAAAGCAGTTATCACCAATATTTTACTGATGAAGAAGTGGAGGTACCAAAATTAATAGCTTGCCCAAGGCAACACTGGAAGTCTCTGGAACTGAGAATATATCTTCACATATGTTCTGTGGCTTAACCAAAGACCATCCTTCATTAACAAATGTGACAGTGATTTATAAAGGCACAGTACACCACCACCTATTTCTTAAATTGAAAATATTATCTTGCATAAAATTACCAATACCAGCATATTGTGTGTGTGTGTGTGTTGGGGGGGGGGGGGGAAATTTGAGACTTTTGTTAAAAATGCACCAATTTCCTATTGTTTCTTCCTCTGGTCTTTCAGAACATGACACTCAGTTCCTCAGTTTTTGTTTTGGAACCTTTGTCCTCCATGGAACCAGTTTCATGTTCTCCAAGATGTGCTCTGTTTTTTCTTCCAGGATGCAGAAAGTTTTTTTTAAATGGATAACACACACAGACACAGGAGACCCAAACTTGCCATGAAAAACTCACATTTATTTGATTAAACAAAAATAAAATAAACTGCATAGGAACATTTTAAAGTCCAGAGAGACACTGACTTTGTTTTAAGGCTGCCAGTAGCTGATACAGCATCTCCTTGCTACATCCTTCAGCCTTCTCTATGGACCACAAAGATACATTCAGAAGCCTCCATTAACACAAGAGTTCTCTAACAATGTTAGTTTGTTCTATGTAACAGTTTGTTCATGACCTGTCATGCTTTCTTCTTTGCTATATGTAACATTTTAAGTTACAAACCCCAGCAATTTTTGTCTATATAGACAAGTTAACCCCTTTTTTTGGAATGTGGGGGTTGTGTTAATGGAAGGGTTTTTTTTTTAACATCATCTGTTCTGTTAACACTTATAAATGCTCTGTTTTTAATGTATTGCTCAGTGCACTGTCTGTCCCACAGCAAATTTTTTTATTATTAGGAAAACAGCATGATTAAATCACTAAAATAGAAAAGCAGAGTGAAGCAGAACAGGAAACTACAAAAGCAATTACAAAACACACAACTTCCAAGAACTGACAGACTCATTCTGGGTGTTTGTAGCATTACTGTGTTGAACTACATCAAGATGACAGTACTTCTAATTTAGTAATTGTATTTTATAAGGTGGTTTTGTATCTACAGTAACTCAAGCGAGGACTTAAACTTGCTACAGAATTTGTTGCTGGTCTTAATTGGACAGAGCTATTTGTTTTTGATGGTTCCAATTTCTGTGAATCGATGCCTGAACAAAGGACCAAATTAGATGGCATTTATGGCCCTCGCTCTTATTACTTAAAATATATCAACCACCAACCAAGACAGGCATGACAAGTAATGAACAATACAAACAACAGTCACATACAGTAAGATCCCTCCCCACCCCCACCCCCAATTTGGGTGACTAAACACACCTTACAAACTAGTTAAAAACTTGAGTCATTTTAGGAAGAAAACAAAAAGCAAAACTCAAAACAGGAGATCTCTTCCTCTGAAGGAAACTACTACATAGACTGAGAAGTATCCTATAAACCTATAAAGGAGTTTACTGGTCTGGTAGTTTAAAGAAAGGTATCTACCCTACTTCACTACATAGACACATAACATTCAATCAGTAAGGCTCTGTAATGAGCTTTCAAACAAAAATATCTACCTGAGTTTGTAAGCTGATACAATCATTAAGAGAAGGTCTAAGACCATGCAGGTACACAAAGCTTTTTTAGAACCATTATTGGTTAAACCATGATGGAAAAAGATGCCAAACTGGCTTGTTAACCCGTAAGATCACTTAAAAAGACATCAAGGTACATTTTCCACCATAACATTTACCAAACTCAACACAGCATATAACCATTAGTGGTTTTCTGTACCCACCCTTCTAACTTTTGTCACTCAATGACTAAGGGAGAAAAACATGAATTTTTAATACAGTAACCTGATAATGTACTTCTCTAAACTTTATTCCACATGTAAAATAATGGGGCTGTTGAATGCCGCTATTAAAGTCAAATAAAAACCCAACATAAGGGGTGCCGCTGGTAAGAACATTCCCTCTGAACTACCTTTCAGGAACAGGAACTTGGTTGCACTTGTCATGGTGGAAAACATCCTGTTGCATCAAGAAAACTACATATACAATCACCAAGTCAAAAATTCAATCTCATTCCCTTCAAGCATTTGGTATAGCATTGCGTTTAAGGAATTATACCCTGAGAGTCTTTTCTGTCAGGGTACATTTGTAGGCAGGCAAAAATAGATAAAATATTTTTCTCTTGTAGAGAGAAGACCTAAAGGTCTTAAGGACATAAGAACTCTGCAAATAAAGACACAAAGTATGTCATGTTGACCAGTAGTGTCATAATACTGAAAAAAAAACAGTTTCAGTTTGCATAATTTCCAGTGAATATGAATCAAGCTTATAGGAGGATGATTAGAATTAGATTTGCCTGAGTGTACAAATATTTGGTTTTATTTACAATTATCTCGCAAGGGCAGTCTAACATTTTCACAGGGAGGCAAACAACAAAATTGCCACTTGTACACATCTAATATTTCCATTTAAACAAAACTTCTTATCCCACAAGCAGGATGAACCCTTCCCCTGCTTGCAGACTAACACTTTCTTCTGAGACCTGATACTAAACTGAGGTAGATGATTTGCTTCTCCATGGTGAGGTAGAACTTTAAGAAACAAAACCAGTTGGGTCTCTATTTGTGCATTCTGTACCACAGCAAACTGGATTTCACTGATCTCCAAAGGACTCAAGGACCTGAGGTACAATATTTGTCTAACGCGAGTACCAGTGTTTAATTTTTAGACAGCTCCAAACTGTTTGTCTAAACATCTCTATTTTTTTAAATACCCTATTACCTTTTGGCACCATTTGGATACACTCCTTTAAAAATAAAAATAAAAACACTTTGGCACACTTTTTTTTTTAAAAAACCAGAACTGAACATAGAAATCTTATGATCTTCAAAAGAAATAAAACATATGGCTGGATCAAGCCTAAAGACTGCTCTTGAAATAAATTAATTTGGCTTAACTATAACTAAACAGACTGAGTCGATCGCCAGCAGTTCCAATGGAATGCCACAACCAAGTGCCTTCTTCTGTTTCTAAACTTGATTATTTTTGGCCCTAACATACACTAACTTTTAGGTTTTTCCCTCTTTGTGGTATGCACTTGTGGGCTTCCCCATATAAGTTATACTTAAAGGGTATAAATTAAAGGAGTGAATTACCGGAGGGTACTGCATTATCTAGCATCATGGCTGCCTCACAAGCCCTTAGCCTGTACATCATTGAAACTCTCCCTGAAACAGTTTTGAAATTACAGGACTGCATAATATGGCTGAATTAGGAGAGGATGACAGTTAACCGATGATAACTTTTCATCAAGTGAAAATTTACTGACGGCCAACATTGGTTTAACCTGGCACAATTAAATTCCTTTAAGAGCATTTAGTGCACAAGTCTATAGATCCAAAGCTAGAGCCCAGGGGGAAAAAAAATAAACTAACCTTCCTCTAATCCACTTCTACCAGCTCAGAAAATCATCCTGAATATTTTAAGAAAAAGCAGGAGTTTGCAACCCAGCATCAAACATTTCTTATCTTTCCTACACTCCTGTCCATTCACCTGTTTTCTACACACATCAGGACAGTGGAGGCATTATCCAACAATAGTCCATGAGCATACCTAGAATATTGTCAGCCAAATTTGAAATCCTACCAATTATACACCAAACAAACAAGCCCCTATGGGATATATGTTGTTGGCATTAAACTTTTCCTATATTATTACACTACTTACTCTCATTGCATTATAAACACTCCATCTTACAAGCTACACTAATATTTTTCAATGAGAGCAAGTGTGCTTAGCACTACCTACTCCAGTAACAGTATAGGAAATATTTTGGGCAGCCATACAGCTGTTTTTTTAAAAAACAAAAGCCTCCCAACATGCGATGTTTAACACTTCAAAGTCAAATAGTTTTGTTTGTGCTGTAAGCAGATCCAGTGAATTAAATAACTAGCAACTTTAAAGGAAGACATTGTGCCTCCCCAAAATAAAGACAAGATTTGTGGCCTTCTCCAATCATGTGCAGCAACATAATATGAAATTATGAAGGTCAATGGAATTCTACCAGCTGTCAGGTCTCTATGCAATGTAGTGATGGAGACCGACAAGAAGAATTTTACTACAATTCAACTCAAAGCATGCCAGAAGCAACTAAATACTTGTTTTAGAATGCCAGGGATGGGGGTGGTGGGGCTGGAGCAGCGGCACAGGGAGAACAGAAAATACAAAAGGGCAACATCCACGAGCATTAAGCAGAATAGCTTTTCTGGCATAAATCCAGCCCAGACAACCACACAGGTGAAGGCAAAAAGGCCAAGCATTTTTAACAAGACAGAGGTGAAATGGAGGTATTCTGCAAATTGTCAAATTAAAGCTTTCAACCAGTTATCTTTGGTATCTAGGTCTTTGAGTCTAATTGGTTCTCACAGCCAAGTTACAAATAATTCTCTCAGTGAGAAACATAAACAAAACAAAAACTATAGACGTTCACAACTACACTTTACCACAAAAGGAAGGAAAGTGGGTTGTGAAAACTAACACGCATTCTGAAGAGCCATCTACAAGTTTAATGAGAGCTCTCTCTAAAAGATAATTTTTATGTTTTTAAACATTATTCCTTAAAATTAAGCCCAGCTGACACCCATTGCTGAGCATTTACTTCATGAGGTATTAGCTGAAAGTAGCACTGTTACATTATCCTGTATAACATTATCCTGTATAATTTAGGGGTTTTTTGGTGTGTTAAAAAGGTTTTTGTGATCTCACTGTCTCCCTTTTCTCTGTCCACCTCTTAAAACCCTCACTTCTTAAGTGGCTGCTGTCGTAAACTTGGACAAATGATTAGGATTTCTACAACAGGAAATTAAATTTCTTGGGAGTTGTTATGGTAACAGGAAAAGCAGCAGTAGGAAGTGAAAGTGCACCTTGAAATTTCTCATTAATTTGAAGAGTGTCCTTCAATATTTCAGATTGCTTGTGTGTGGTGGTTGGGGGAAAGAGATGAATCCTTTCTCCTGTACCTGTGGTGAGGCACTTCAGCCTTTTAGTTAATAACCTCTCTTCTCCTTTAGGGCTCTTCTCTTATTGGAAGAGAACACACAACTCTTATACCACTGCAGGGGAAAACACTAATTGATGCACCAACTCTTCAATTTCTGCACGATGCAAAAGCTCTCCATTCCCTAAATTTGTCTTTATGGTTTGCCACTTATGATCCTATCCAGAAAGGAAGGCAGTTTCTTGAGAATTCATATCAACATCAATAGCTAAGATATTCAGATTCAAGCTACTGAAAGGTGGACCATATTCCACTAGGGAAGCAAAGTCATATGGCTTGGTAATTGAAGCCCCTCTTAAAAAAAAAAAAAAAAAAATCTCAGCTTTCCAAAAAAGCCAAGAATTCCCATCCTTGTTGAAGCTAAACTCTTGAGTTTAAAGCATGTAACCAGTCTAGGGTTTAGACACTGTCCCCATTTTAAATGCAGTTTTTGGAGCAGTTATGGATGGATGATACAGAGCTTTATGTGACTCCATTTTGCCCCGTGCTGGCTCTCTTTCACCAGGGGCCATGCCTGTACGTTAAAAATGTTCTTTGAATCTTTCAATTTAACTTTTTATTTGACGGGAGAGGGAGAAAAAGAGAGCGAGAATGAGAACAAATAGTTCAGCTGATATCACTGATGGATTTTGAGATTGGATTTTTTTTCTCTGAAATGCACCCTGAATTTCCAAAGTTGTGCTTTATGTTCATTTTTGGGGAAGTGTATTTGTACGGACAAACATATTAATCTTTACTCCCCTAATTAAAGCTTTTTAAGGGAACACCAAAACAACCCCACAGCCATTTCACACAAAAATAAATTTAACTCAAGGGTTCAATCTTCCCTGTTTTGATGCTCATTGTATCAGGCATCGATATACAAGGGTGACCAACACATAATGGAGGAAGAATGGAACGTTGTTTTTAAAATTGTCACTAATAATCAAAGGCTATAAAGAAATTAGAGACTAAAGAACACATTACAGAAATTCCTGCTTTTTTCCATTATACTTTTTATGACAAACACTACACTAAATCACCAAAAATGATCGATTCCCCCCCCCCCCCAAAAAAAACCTGTGCATTTTCATAGGGGCTTCACTTTGTGCTATAGGATTAATGCACTTTTCAAAACATAAACTTGATTTTCCTGACTAGTGAACCCCACCCACCTTCCACAAAAAGATCAAAGTCTTCTGGAAACAAGACACTATGCTGAACAGTAAATCAAACACACTGAGGTATAAAAAGGAGAACAGGAAAAAGTTCTCTGCTGCAGCAGCATTAAAAAAAAAAAAAAAAAAAAAAAAAACCCAAATCCCCACAACCCTCCCCCCACAAAAGCACAGTACGATTAAGAACATAAATTCTCTACAAATATCTAATACAACTGATTTTTCCCCCATTTAAAAAAAAAATTAGAGTGCGCCTTTTTGGCTTAGTCTACAGAATTCACCACGCAACCACCTAATGTGCACAGCAACACATCTTTGTGCATGATGTCCCATGTGGGGTAGAGGTAAAACTTTACTGCTGGGGAAGAGGGGGAAGAACACAAAGATAATGAGGTAGATAGAATTTATAACTTTACAGGATCACTCCCTACAGAAAAGATAAGTACATTCATCTGTAAAAAATTAAAGATGAGGTAGGTTTGAATTAACGTTGTATTTTTTCGTTCTCTTAAAAGAATTTCCCTGAGACAGTTTCTTCCTAACTCAGATAACAGATTAGAAAATGAGAATTCGATTGTTTCCGAAGTCAACCACAACAATCATGCCATCAGGGGTGACAGCTATACCTGAAGGACGGTCCATCTGACCAAAGCCACTTCCCTGAGTGCCAAATTTGCATAAAAAACTACCATTGGACTCAAATATCTGCACTCGGTGGTTCCTAGAATCTGCCACAATGATGCGCCCCTCTTGATCCACAGCCACGCCTTGCGGGCGCAGAAACTGGCCGTTGCTGGTGCCTTCTGACCCAAGAAAGCGTGCCGACTGGCAATCTGGATGGATGACCAGGAGCCGATGGTTGTTGAAATCTGTTACTACCAGATGGCCTTCATGATTGAAAGTCACACCCCTTGGCGAATCAAAGTGCTTCCAGAGTGCCCCTTCGAAGCCATATTTATTCAGAAACACACCATCAGGTCCAAATAGTTGAATCCGATGGTTCCTCGTGTCAGAGACGAGGATTTTGCCCTCGGAGTTGACTGCCACATCCCATGGGTAATTGAATTGGCCATTTTTGGTTCCTTTTTCCCCAAATTTCAGAATAAACTGCCCATCAAATGTAAAGATCTGGATGCGATGATTATCCTTGTCAGCCACAACAATCCTACGCGAGATATCACAGGCAACACCAGCAGGGCGATCAAACTGTCCAGGCCTGGAGCCCAAGGTGCCGAATTTGTGGTGGAAGGTACCACAAGGCTTAAACACCTGAATACGGTTATTACTGCGATCAGCAACAATGATGTACCCTTCTTTGTCTACGCAAACTCCCCAGGGGCGACACAGTTTGCCATCGTTGTCTCCCTCGCTGCCAAACGAAAGCCCTGGTAGTCCAATGCCGATGTAACTGCGCCCAGATTTTACCATGACCTTGAATGGACTGTTCTCTATGTGCTGGTTGCACATCATGACCGAAACTAGATGCTCTCCCTCCAGCTGTGGTCTGTAACTGACCAGGTAGGTGCCATTCTGCTGATCATTGACATCTGCACCAAACAGGTTTCCGTCAGGGCCCATCACCACTGCAGAGATCATATCACCCCCCGAAAGGCGTGGTTCACCATCATGGTCATAACCTATCACTGTGAAGGAGGCCACTTTGCCCTGTAGTGCACGTTTGAGACCTTCCCCAGTGGCTTTGGTCAGAGGAGCAAAAGCCCCACTGCTGACAAACCCCATTGATTTAATGGCCATATAGAGAGCCTGGTCAGGAGGAGTGAACATGACTCTGTCATCTTCCTGTGGCTGTAGAAGGCCTCTCACATTCTTCAGCTCCTGCACCTGAGCCAACATGCGGTCCCGAGCCAGAAGGA